GGAGGAAGCGGAGGCGGAGGAGACGGGGAACGCGGGGAAAGGGGCCGGGGCCGAGGCCGAGGCCGGCGACAGCTCGGAGCAGCTGAGCAGCAGCAGCACGTCCACCAAGTCCGCCAAGTCCGGCTCGGAAGCCTCGGCATCGGCCTCCAAGGAGGCCCTGCAGGCCATGATCCTGAGCCTGCCGCGCTACCACTGCGAGAACCCGGCCAGCTGCAAATCGCCCACGCTCTCCACCGACACGCTGCGCAAGCGCCTCTACCGCATCGGCCTCAACCTCTTCAACATGTAAGTGAGGCTGGGCTCGGAGCAGGGTCCCGGGGGAGGGAAGGCAGGCTAGCGGGGAGCCACGGAATTCAGCACAGCACCCCAGGGCCCTCGCAGGTGGCGTTTGTGCCACGCCTGCTCCTTGAGATTCTGTGTACAAATACAGATTTTAGCTTTAATTGTTATTGATTTAAGAAACATTAGGAACAAAATGGCATTTCAAACCCATGCTTTCACCACTGTTACTGCTTAAGATGAAGCTAGAGTTTGAAAAGTGAGAGAACTGAAAAGAAAATACAGTGTTAAGTAAATAACGGTACAGATTATATGAGGATTGCGCAGAAATCATTCAGGTAGGATATGAAGTTAGGGGCCCACAGCAATCGGGTGGGGTTGATGAAGAGGAGAGACAGACAGTGAGCAAAGGGGAAAATGAGGCAAGGGGAATGAGGGGCGGGTGGGGGAAAGAGAAGAGACCTACTTTAAGGGGTTCAAGTAGAAAGCAGAAGAGGGAGGGGCAAAGGGGGGGAGACGGAAAGAGTGTGAAGCAGGCTGGGGTGTAGGACAAAGAGAACAGGGGAATGAAGGAGAGAAATGAACGACTGTCAGAGCCCCCAGGGAGAGCCCCAGCCAAACCTTTTCCCACAACCAGAATGTATACAGCTGGTGGCAAGCAGAGGGAGCACACATGGAAATTTCAAGTACATGAGGCACTGATCTCCACCCTCCGCTCAACCCTTCCTTCATAGCCCTGAGCCAGGAAACACAACATCCCTCCTGCCCACACGCATTATTTCCTGAGTGCCAGGCACCAGGACTACAAAGATGAGTAAGACACATCCCCTGCTCTCAAGGAGCGTGTGTCCTGGGGAGAATAACTACCGTTCATAAAGCATCTGCAGTCTTCCCAACAGTATTAAAGGTAGCATTGTTATGCCATTTTACAGAAAAGGAAACAGGCTCACACTAGTGAGTGAGTTGCACACTATGACACAACTAGTAAGCTACAGACTTAGGTGAAGCCAGATCTGTCTAACTCCCAATCCATTGCCTTTTCTTTTACATCAGGCTGCCGTCCTGGTGAGCAGCCCCCACCTGACACATCCAGGGCATCACTTCAACATGCACACAAATGTTCACACAGATTCTTGGATCCCTCAAGACAGTGGTTCTCAAACTATCTATGGTGAAGGACCAGTTTTGGTTTTTACCCAACACATTGTGGGCCAATACTTTTGTAAAATACAATAAAAATGAACTGCTAGAAACACATTCTTGGTTGTCCTGAAAATGTCAAAGTGCTGTAAAAGGTTCTAAATGCTTACCCTCTATTTCTGTACTTATCTTCTCCTGGACGAGTAAGAAACAATTCAGGGAAGAGCATGGATTTGCAGACCACACTGTGAGCACAACTGCCTTAAGACACAGCACCCACACCCACACCCACACCCACACATAGACTCAAGCCTGGGACTGTAAATGCCGGAGAACAGGATTCTTGTGTATCCACCATCCACAGGGAACAGGGAATGTGGGGGAGATCTCACCGCTGTTCCTAATCTCATCCTCTCCAAATTCCAGGATGGGTATTGCATATAGACAACAGGACCTTGGGGACCTCTTGACAGGCCTCTGGGTGAGATCTGGTGGGAGTGAGGCAGAAAGAGGGAAGACACCTCTTCACCTGTTCTGGAATTCACTTTGCTTGGCCAAACCTCCCCTTCCCCCCTTCCCGCCCCACACTATCTTCATTCCTTTGTGGGATGGTTCAGGAGGGTGAGGCTCAGGGGAAAGGTGCTTTTGATGGGGAGCCCCTCTTCTGCGGAAAGAATCCTGGCATTTCCTGAGAATTCTTTCCAAGGACCTCCAGACACTTTTTATGGGTTCCATGGGCTGGAAGAACAGAGAAAGAAGCCGTGGATAGCCTTGGCTCACTCTCCACTCCTTCTCCCCACCCCCATCCACACCCCCAGAAACCCAGACAAGGGCATCCAGTTCCTGATCTCACGTGGCTTCATCCCTGACACCCCCATCGGAGTGGCCCACTTCCTGCTCCAGCGTAAAGGCCTCAGCCGGCAGATGATTGGAGAGTTCCTGGGTAACAACAAGAAGCAGTTCAACCACGACGTGCTGGAGTGAGTGCCCCACCCCGGGGGCTCCCCACCCCCTCCCTCAATTCCCTCCTTCCCACTGGGATGGGGGACCTCAGCTAGGAAGGACTCAGGGAAGAAAGAGGGATGTCTGAAGTCTTGTCCATTTCCCAGAAAGCCTCTCCCTAGTCCTAGCAGTTTCCTGTTTGTTCCCAGGAACCAGAATCCCCATGGCCTTTAGCCAATCACTGCATTTTGACCAGCCTGTTTCCCCTAGAAAGTCTTTTATTTATTGAGCACATTATGTGCAGGGTACCATTGGTACAGAAATGGTCAAAGGAGACAAAAAGGCCACCTTCTCTCCCACCCTCAGGGGCAAGAAAATGGGCCTGGAGAGGAGAGGGCTGTCAGTGCTGGGGCCTTCTCCGCCTGGGGAACAGACCCCTCAACCCACCCTCTCCTTGCCACCTGTCGAGCCCCCAGACCCCCCACAAGCATCTACCTGCTCCCCACCTAGGATCATTTTCATATCGGTGGAGGCAAACATGAGGCAGAAAAAAGAAGGGGTTAGACTGAGGGGTTTTAGAGCAGGAAAACGCTATGATTCCATAAAGATGGACTGACCACCCAAATCACGACAATCAAAGAAACTTGCTCTCCAGTCTAATAGGTGGGGGGTGGGGTGAGGGGGCTCCCTTTGCTAGTGTTCAGCTTTGCCAGTGTGAACAGGCAAGAGTCTCTTCACACTCGCTGCCCCTCTCGAGCTGCCGGGCAGGGGTGGCATTACTTGAGGAGCAGGCCTTGGAGCACCCCTCCCTGGCAAAGAGAGGGTGAGGTCCCAGGAAGTCTCTTCCAGGCCCCTGCCACTCCCCAGATGTACCTTCTCTCTCCCACTGGGCCCCCTAGGCTCAGATGTTCTTGAAGGTCACCATTCTGTAGGGAGCCACCCCCACTTCCCTTCCCCTTTTCTCCTTGGATACAGTCAACAGAAGTGTTTCCCCTGGGGTCCTAGGAGAACCTCTCCTGTTTGTCCTTGCTCTTGGAGCAGCAAGGGCCTGCTGCAGAGGGGCAGAGGGCTCCTAATCAAGGCTTTGGAAGTGTGAGTCACCCAACCTGACCGGCAAAGTAGTCACTGTCCTTGGAGTGGGAGCTCAGAGACCTGGCTTAGTTTAAGGAGCAGTATTGGTGCTGTCTGGGCCTGCATTTCCCTGCCTGTGGAGTGTGGATGTTGGCTGATGAGGAGTGGACCAGCTGCCCCATGGAACCCTTGTTGTATTCCTAAATTTACTGGTAGGGTGGTTGTCTAACTGCATATAGTCAGAAGAATGGGGACTTGGGTCCATCTGAGGGACCATGAAATCCCCAGAACCCAGCTCCTGCCTCTGACTCTCAGTGGCTTTGGACAGTTTGCTGTCCCTTTCACATCGATGGTTGAGATGTTCTGAGTGCCTCACAAAGGAAAATAAACTGATGAATGCGCAGCATTTCCCTGTCGCCCTCCCTTCTTCTGCCATTGCCTCTGACTCCCCTTTCCCTTCACCACCACCCCTGCTGAAGAGGAGAAAGATCAGGTTTTTCAGACGCTTCCCTTCCCCTGTTTTTCCTCCATCTGGTTCCCCTCTCTGGCTTTTTCATTGGCTTTTGTCCCCTTTCCATTCTGTAGGAGGGCGAGCGGAGGTGTTGTGCCCTATGGCTTTGTTCTTTAGGACTGTTCCACACCCCCGGGGGGCCCTGCTTTGTCTCTGTGCTCTGAGTACAGGGGCGACTGCTTCACTCACAGGCCCTGACTGTCTGCTCTGTTCTCTCTCTTCTGCTTCCCTAGTCCTGGTGTCACCTGACCCTGGAATTTTAACCTGCCAGGCTCACATTGACCTGGAGCACTGGGAACCTACGGTTTTTCTCCAGCCCAGGTCACGCTGAGCAGCACAATGAAAACTAATTGCCACCCTCCCTGCGAGATGGAATGTGTGGGCTGGAGACTCAGACCAGCCCTGCAGCCTGTGCTGGCAGGAGACCTGGGCTGGGGACTGGGCTAGCAGCTGAGGCAGGGCCAGGCCTGGGCCCAGGAGGCAGTGGCGGGGTAGGAGAGATGGCTGGACCTGAGAGGAAGGGCCCATCTCTGAACCTGGCTCTGCTCCTAACACACTATGTAGCTTTTGGAAGGCACTTCTCCTCTAGGCCTCAGTTTTCCATCTGTAAAACCAGAGGGTTAGGCTGTGTGATCTCAGAGGTCCCTCCAACTCCTGTGAATCTATCATTTTCCCCATTTCCCATTGCATCTGTAGCACACTGGCATCGTGCAGAATCATTCACCTTAAACATGGGGGCCCTGCTTTGTCATCGTGCCAGAGCATTCCTCAGGCTCCAGGGCAGTGCAGGGCACCAGAGTTCATGGGAGAACAAGATGACCATTCATCACGCGTTCATTGAACACCGAGTGCCTACCACATGTTGGAAACGGGGCTGAGCTAGCTGTCCTGTGTATGTATGTGGATGGGGGAAGAATAGGAATGGCTCATGCGTCAGGGAACTTACAGGCCCAGGTGTCAATTGGGAGAGAAGAATGGAGAAGCATGGAAAAGGAGGCAGGAGGACCAAGCAGGCTCCAGCCAGCATTGTGGGTTTGGGGGAGACTGAGTACAGAGCTGAGCCCCAGTTCTGCCCCAGTGAATGCCTCATCCCTCATGCTTTATTCTGCAGCCAAGCGGGCCCTGGGCTCGGAGGGCTTGGCACATTCAGCCTCTGCACACAGAAAGGAGCCCTCCTCCCCCAAGGCCACAGTTTGCTGACCACCTGGATTGTCTCCTACAAAGTGCCAGGAGGAAGAAGGTGGGGACGCAGGAAGAGGCAGGCACTAGCAGGGGAGCCACATGCTGGGGTTTTGGCACATCCCTGCCTCTCAAGCCAGCTGTTCTGGTACCTTTCAGGACACTCTGCCTCTTCCTTATTTCCACCAGAGAAAACACACAATAACCAAGTCACCAGTGCCATTTTGTCCAGGCCTGGAAGGCTTCATTGGGATTCTACACAGTTCCCCTGCCCCCGCCTGGTGACATTCAGCAACTTACATCCGTTCTATACAAGGCTGTTTGCTGAATAAAAGGACATAAATCACCCATCCCCTTGGAGACTGAGACAAGACAAGCCACAGCACTCTCCAAGGAGCAGCCAGACAGGAAGGGGAGAGGCCTCTGGAAGAGGAAAGGGTGGGACCCCCAGATACCCCCTCCCAACTCTTATGCCTGTGGGAGAAGGAAGGGGAGCCTGAGCGGAATCTGCCTCCGCGCTGACCTGTGTCTGAGCATCATAGATGCAGTAACATTTGCTTCCAGGATCAGGCCCTCGGGGCTCTTAGAAGCTGACCTCCCATCCCTTTGTGCCCTACTTCCATAGACAACACACTCCAAGAAGGAACGTATTCAACCAGGCTTTATTCAAATAATAATAGAAGGCCTTCTGAGCTCAAAGGATCGTGTCCATCTGTGTTCACCTGGAAAGGACATTTTTTCTTTTTAAGGAGAAACCAGCCTCACTTCCCTTATTTGTAAAATGGGGAAATAGTACCTATCTAATATGAATGAAATATTTTCAATGCACATAAAATGCGTAACTCAGCACCTGATGCTTAGTAAATTCTTTTTTAAATGTTAGCTATTTCTATTATTATCTTTCCCACTTGAAAGCACAGGGCATTAGATATACGCC